TGTGACTCCAGCAGGAGTTTGCTCATAGTTATTTTAGTTTGATCAATGGTCTTAATCTATTATATTGCATGAGTCAACTTCCCCAAAACTGAGAGCAGAACCACAATGAAGGAAATATGAGGAAAACAAAATCTATTAGAACGTATTACTCATTTAATTGTTCATGAGATTTGTTATTGTTTCTGCACTTTGTGTAGAACAAAGAAAATAAAACTTGATGCATGATAGTTACTTACAGAAATGTACCAATTACAAGAGTTTAAACCTTGTCGAGTTCCTATTGACAGCAAGGCAAATTTTCACTGTCTGGAAAAATACAATATATTCTTAGTTCCTGACTAACTAATTCTCTGTCCGTTAATGACTTTCAGTCACCGGTCGATTTATTTTGGGTTTTCTACATTAAATGAACCATTTATACCTCTATGATATCTTACAGAGTTATTGATTACTTGTCATATAACAAATGAAATAATTTTTCAGTGTTATTAATTTTTGTTAGGCAACATTTGATGACGCCAGAACTAACAGGATTGTGTTCTTTAACTATTCCCTTTGACATAGTGAGTGAACAGGGTGTCACAAAGACAGTTTTGTTGTTGTTTATGTTGTGTGATTTTTGTGGTTTAACACCTGGAATAGGAGTGTGAGCTCAGCTGTCCCTCTGACTTGTAGAAAACACCTAACGGAGCTTCTGTCAGTTTTTACACTAAGGAGGCGTGAATGTGTCTGTTTTGTTTTGGGTAAAAGTGGTCATCCCAGGAGGACTTTGTGGATAAAAGCCTGAATCTGCTGTGTGAAACCAGGATTACTTTATTCAGAACAAGCATTCAGCTTGTTTTTGTCTTCTTTTATTGTTTCATTGGAATTATTGAATTGAAAGGATTAAAAAGATCCTCTTTGGAGGTTTTGTTTTTAAGTGTGACCAGACAAAAGGGGAAAACCGGCTAAATGCGTCATTGTCTGTGCGTCCTGGCTGTGCTCATTACCTTCGTTTCTTTATAGAATTACCCAAGACGCCTGTGAATGCCAGGTGTGAGCAGGGCATGTGTTAGTGATTGTCTGTAAGCTCAATCCAGGCCTTACTCTTCATGACCATGAAGTTGATGTTTTAACCCTTCCAGTTTAATATAAAAGTAAATTTCTCTGACAAATTATTGTGGCTATGTAAAAATCTGCAGCTAAATGTGTCATGAAATGTTTTGTTTTTGGGGTCATATTTTGTTTAACCATCTTATTAGAGAAAAGTATGCATTTAAAAACACACCTCTGATTGATTAATACTGATATTTAGACAGGAACAGTTTGTGTTTCTTGCTCCTCGCTGAATTGTTTACCTGCGTTCATTTAGCATAGCGTGCCTGCCTGTTGTATGGCAGGGATCCCACTGAATGCTGGTAAAACAGCAGGAGGTCAGGGGATGCAGGGAAAACAGTCGTAAACCCTTCTATTACCCGCAGCAATAGTCTAATTCCCCTTCAACTAGTCCCTGCCACTTTCTGCCTTGTTTATTCAAAGTTGTTCTGTAACACCAAAATGACTTTAGAAAAGTGTTGTTGAGTAAACTAAGCCTGTCATGTACCAGTTAAGTGGGGCATGTTTTACATTTTGCGAAAACTACATTAGTATCAAGGAGAGTTGGTGAAAACATCTATTAAGTTGCCACCTTTTGTGCTAAAATTGAAGGTTTTTCAATGTAAGCTCGTGTAGATGTAAAGCTTGCTGTTCCTGCAGTTTATCAGAGCCATTGCAGACATCTACATCATTTTCTTTTAAACCACAGGCATTGTTTTTTTTTCTGAGCTAGCCAAGCTGGGGAAGCTGGTTGCTATACTATAAAAGCGTGTTTTCTCTGGGCGGTATAAAGGGGACAGGATTTCCTCGGTGGAGTCTGCATAACTCTCAGCACTCTCAGGCCAGAGAGAGCACATGGGCTTTGGTTGTTTGTTGCGGTTAAATTGATTTTTGATTCATATTCATTAAACACAAAGTTTAAAACTAACAAGGAATAAATTGTTTATAGATTTGCCAGACGAAGACTGAACCTGAAACTCCAGCTTGCATATTTGTCCCATTCTACCTTCCACCCACCTACTGAGCCTCTGAACTTTTATGATAGTGCCTAGAAAGGCCCACCTCTTAAGTGAAGGGGTTATTTTGTGTTTTTATTGCTCATTTAACAACAAATGTGTTCTGGGGGGGAAAAAAGTTTTGAAACAGGTAAGGATCACTTTATCTGACTCAGATATTCATTCTGGATACCTGTTTGACAATGAAATTAAGTTGCCACATATATTTTGACAAACTCCTGTAGGACTGAGAATTTAAACAGAGTATTTTGTTATTTTAATGAATTGTGCCCTGCTACCTTACAAACTAAACCATAGAATACAGAAAGACATAATTAGAAAAAAAGGTGAGGTAATTTTATTTATTTATATTGTACAAGAAGGCAATTCGGAGTACGTTTCATGATTAGAAGAAAAATAAAATGACAAACAAGCAGGTGCCAGAGTGATTTAAAAAAGTCACTTGAGACTATTTCTTGTTTAATAGAAAACTCAAATTACATTCACTCAACACATCTCTTTAACTGAAAATTAGATTTCCGCTCAACAAAAGTCTATTTAAACCTGTTTTAATTACAAATGCACTTAGCAGACAATTCCTGGCCAAAGAAGTTTTTTTTTTTTTACTCTACAAGAAATATGAGAAAAAATACGGTTTCATCTGATATTTATTAAGCTCAAAAGAAGTGCATCAAGTATGGTTTGTAGTTGTAATTACAGACAAAAAAAACTGTTTTCAGTTCTGATGCAGTTAGTAAAATTAGCTGATTCTGATCTATGACTGTTTGATTTCTGCTTCTGTCATTTTGATGTCTAATGCAAAAAATATATATTTTATCATTTAAAGTTTGACCCGGTGCAGGATTTTTCAGGAACTAATCAACTGTTACTCCAGATTTAGAGATTTAGTAGGTTGAAAGTGCAGCGTTTATGTTTTCTTCCATCTCTGTCAACTTCATTTACATGTTGATGTCAGTAGGGAGGTTTTAATCGTCTCAGCATTTTATAGCAGAGTACGTCCAACTGATTTTTTGTAATGATTGATATAATTGCAAGGTCAGTGCTCATCTTTAAAATGATACCAAGCGTGGTGTTCCCTAACAATCTGATTCTTTTTCACACTTTACAATAAAAGAGAGAGTGCATTGAATGGTCAGTTTCCTCTCTGTCTGCAATGACCTTATCTCCATGTTTAAGGGAGGGAAGGTGAAACAGTGCTTTAGGTTTTCCAGAGTCAAATACTTCATTGTTGAGCTGTAGGTTGTTACTTAAATGCTGACTATGAGATGCTGATGTAAAGTAGCGGGCTTTTTCCTGCACTTTAAGGCTACTGATATGAACTGTTGGGACGGTATTAGGCAACAACTCTAATCACTATCTGGGACATCTGGATCTAAAAGTCCCCAGCAGCTAATGAAGCATTAAGTTGAACGACAGCCTGACAAACCTCATTATCCTCTGTCTTGCAATAGAAGAAATCAGTCTTGCTTGACGGTTTGTTTTTCAAGTGAGTACTTCTTGCCTTGTGCAGTATGCTAGAGGGCCCACCTTTTATTTAAAGAGACCTGTGGTCAGCAGAGAGGTAAACAAAGTGAAGCTGTTCTGCTTACTCAGGTAGAAAATCCCCTTGAGGTTGTGCTTTTAATTGAACAAGACGCCTCCAGAGAAGCATGGACCTGCTTTTAGCACCAGCCTTTACACTCTGTCAGAGCTTGTCTCATGACTCGGTTTGATGCTTGCATCCATTAAACTTCTTGTCTTGATTAATCATAGATAAGTACAGTGGAGCATTTTGATCACAGATGTGTGCTTGCATTTTCCATGACCTTTAACCGAGATCTTAGGAGATAAAGTCAGATAGTTTGAGCTGAATATGAACAGCTTGCACATTCATATTTACCGAGCCTTTTAAAACTGCGGCAGCTCTGTCCAACATGACTTGAAATGTCACAGCTGTGTGGGATGCACTAACTGGCAGGATAGATCTCATCTTCGCCCTCGCTGCAAGTGTGGAAAACATTTTACGCTGCCATAATGGTTGAAATGGTGATAATTCAAAATATCTTTTTTCCCCACTCCCCCTCCTTGAGACAATCTGTCTGACCACATCCATGAAAGTGCTACAGCTACTATAATCTGCAAGGTCAGAGATTCTGATTAGATCAGGTACGCAGGTAGTAGCGTTGCCTTTATTTTGAAAATTGTAATGGCGTTGGGGACAAAATCAGTCAGTCCTTTTTGGCAATAAGTTAGTTCATTGGAGTCTGGAAAATGGGATATTTCAAAAACTTCCAGATTGTTAAGAAACAATCAATAGACACTGCAGCGTTAGTGCAGCTTGTCACCAGCAACCCAGGCTGAACTCCAGCACGTTTGGTCAACTGGTTTGCCTGTATGTGCTGTACAATTGTTCATGGAAAAGACAAGTATTTTGTTGTTGACTTATCATTTAGAAACTACTTTCTGCATTCATGTTGGCTTTACAGATGGCTCCACTTCTGCTTTTCAAACAGCAGAAGTGGAGCCAAGTGCAACAGTCATGCAGAACTCTGCACTGTTTCATTGTGTATAGAAACAATAATTTCTATACATAATGTATAGAAATTGTGTATCCGTTTGCAGCCATTTTCATGTGTCAGTGTAAAAATTGAGTTGGGGAGTGTGGATTTAAATCAGCTTATTCTGCAAGGAGCTTAAAATTGGCAGAACTGACTAGACTCAAATCTCATTATCTAAGAATTATTTGTGCAAAAAATGTAATGGACATGCTTCATATAACCTTGTAACATGTTTAAGGAACCATAACAGAACACCTTATTATGTGACTGTTACCTGATAAAATATAAAAATGTAACACTGTGCTTCTGCTTTATCTGGTAATACAACAAGTAAATTAAAGCAAAGCTTTTCATGTTTTCCTCTCCCCTGCAGGCGCTCTTACGGTCGGTCTTGTCCGGCAGTGTCAGACCATACACGGACGAGAGCGGACTTGTATCCCGCCGCGACTGCCCCCTGAGTGGGTCACTACGCTCTTCTTCATCATCATGGGCATCATATCCCTCACAGTCACCTGCGGACTGCTAGTTGCGTCGCATTGGCGCAGAGAAGCCACCAAATATGCCCGCTGGATTGCCTTCACTGGCAGTAAGTGAAGAAAATTGTATTCAAAAATATGAAATTATAGTTCTTAGGAACTCAGTTGAATTAATTGAGAAAATGTAAATGTATATTGTCCTCTTGATTTTTATGGTTGAATTCATAGAGGGTAGCGGCTCGTTTGGTACATGTGTAGGTGGACAGTATAACTGTAGCTTTTCTTCTTTCCCTTAAACTGCAAAGTTTTTTTGTTTTTTTTTCTCTCCAGACAATATTTCTGTATAGATGCACTTGCAGTACTCCACAATAACTCTTCCATCTCACGCATTGTGCCTGGGCTGGTTTTATAAAGCTGTGTGGGTTGGTGGAATTCGATTGGTCAGTCAGTTCAGGGAAGCGGCAGCTTCGAGCACTCTCACACTGATGGAGCAGTGGTATGTGAAGTCACAATGGCTCGCATTATTGTCTGAAAGCTGGAGGCATTTTTTTTTTTAATGGCTCAGACACAAAAAGGAAAAACACCCTGAGGATTTGCAAAAAGAAAACATTCAGAGGAACATTTGTTCCCTGCTAGGTCTTGTGCAGTTTTATATTTTTTTCAAACACTTCTTAATCACCTGGTAAACTAACACTCTTTAATATCTCAAGTGATAGTGTTGTGTAGTAAATGTCTTTTAGAAGCACTGAACACTCCAAGAAACTCAGGAATAAAGAAAAAATGCGCAAGATAGATTTGATAACAGAAAGTAGTTTCAATTCTGCTTTATGAAACTAGCAGACTATTGTCACTCTGATATAGAAATTACTTTGAGCTTAGCAACACAAAGATGTTTCTGAAGGATGACTGGGAAACAACAACATGAGCTGAGAAGCTGTACTGTAGATTAACTGCTAACTTTCTTCAAGTCAGATTGAAGTTGTAATTGTTACTTTTGTATTTGCTGCCTAATAAGCCTTGTGTGGGGAAAAAAAAGCAGTTTCATATTTCCACTGTACTAAAACTAAATAAAAAAATAAAGACTTAAAAAATGATCTAAATGTTTTAATTTCAGACGGAAAAGTAACAGTTATTCCTGTCGTCAAAAGATAGCATGTTGATTATTGAGAACATTTTAATTATATGTAATATTTGTTACTTTGAATTTGATTCATGGACTTGAGCAAAAATACTGATTAATTAATTACTAAACTTGTTACTTATTGAGCAGAAATTATTTACTATATATATATATATTTACAGTTCTGTACTCTTTAAAATGACACGAGTTTAAAAAGCTACTGTGTACTCAGGTAGCCGCCATTGCTTCTTAACTAATTATTTTATGCAAACAACAGTGATTGTCTTCAATCACTGTTATTAAAATATTTCAAAACAACCACATTTGTCTTTTTTCAGTCAGCTGGCCAGCAGTGCTCTTCTACAATTGAGGTTCTGCATGACTCTGTTGCACTCGGCTCTAAACAGCAGCAGAAACTTCTGGTCATTTTATGATGAAAAATTTTAGAGTTCTGAAATGAAACGTTTGAAATGATTCAGTCCTGACCTCTGTTGACATTGCACAACAATTTAAAAACCTTTTTTGGCTGTGATGATTTTCAATTTTCTATCTGTATCTTTATGCTGCAAATGTGTTCAAGTGCAAAGAAGTGTAGGAGACATCACATTCAAATGATTGTGTTCTGAATATACCTTATTGTCAGGATGAAATGAGTTGAATTTCTTTATGCTTGATTTGCTGTGCTTGCTGGGCAAAAATTCTGCAATTAGAAAAGCATCAGTAGCATGGAAAGTCAGATGTTCTGAGCTAAAATGATATTTACTTTATAGCGAGAATATGCAATCAATTGCTAGACAAGGGTGGTGTTTTGTAGATGTATGCCCGGTACGATAAACCATCATGCTGATTAGGACGCCTCAGGGTTGTTTCGTGGGTAAAATATGAGCCGAACACAATATTTTTTAGTACCCTGCTTTGTGGTGGTGAAACTGTTTCTAAATTACATCAGGCTTGTCTTTCACAATTTTTTTTATTTATTTACCATTTGACAGATTTATAACACACAGCGCTGTCCACAGAGATGATTACTGTTAAGAGACGCATTGTCTTGAACCGCACACTAACAAGTAATGTAGCTGTCACGACTCCTATTAGCAGAACCGCTGCTTATTTAGGCATGTTTTAAGTCATATTTTTTGCATCACTTTATGAAAGATAGGACAATTTTTACTGCATTTTATGAGCTAACCCTTTAATTTTAGCAGTCTTTAAAGAATAAAAGTGTGTACAGAATATACATACACAATTTTTGCATGACATTAGAAATTTTCATAATGGAAACAATGTTCACAAATATTGAGATATTTGAGATCTCAATATTTGAGATGCTTTCTTTTACTTTAGCTTCTTTCCTCTTTTTGTCATCTGTGCTTCCATCATGCTGTCATCTTTAGCATTTTGGACAGTATCGTTTGTGTCCTGTCTGGATGGATGAAATTTCCACTTGATTAAACCTGCTTGAATATTTTTTTTTTAAACAAATTAGATTGAAAAAGTTATAATTTTAACTGTGAAGGCAAGTCTTTCAGCTCTCTAAAGTCTATTTTCTGGTTAATTTGAACTTTTTGTCTTAGAAATATAATTCAGGGAGAGAAGTTTTTTATGCAAAATTAGATTTCCTCTGCTTTTTCATCCTCGGCTTCTCTTTACATCCATTTGCATAAAGATTTTGCTCAATAATGAGACTTTCATTAAGAATTAATGCCTCACACTGGTTAAAATGTCAAAGTTCAGCCTCATGAAAGCATTTCCCGCCTGCATTGCCTTTGCTATGAGATTAAATAAAGCAGTGTGGCTCTGAAGCAGAGCAGACGGTGAAAAGCTATTCAGACAGCATCTATTTATTTTTAATTAAATGATTGTATGTCATACGATAAAACCCAGTTGATTCACATGGTGATTTAATTTGCTGCATAATTGACTTGTGAAATCAGGAGTAAACATGATCAAATATTGATGTGGCTTTATTAATGTAAAGACTCAAATAGAAAAGATATTTAGAAATCACTGAGAGTTGAAATACTTTGAACTGTGTCTGAATATCCTTCATCCTCACAAATGAACACGTTAATGATTTGCAGGATAAATATCACAGTAATATGTATTTCTCAATGGGCTGTTGAGTTTTGTGAGTAACAGTTTATTTTTCTGTAAAATCTATTTGAGAAAATTATATTTTTCCTAATTTTATACTCCAGTTATGGAAAGCTGCTTTTTCATAAATGTTTAAATTTGAATGAAGCAGCTCTTTGGTGCTTGATTTAGTTTGCTGTTTTTATTTCTCTTCATGGTCTTCCCTTATGAGCTTCTTCATGAGATTTGATTAATTTTTGCTGCTATTAATGAAGCTTTATGCATCACCCATGATTCTTTTCACAAACATTAGTTGAGGTACAGATGCAACATGGTTTTACGTGAAGTCTGTGTTGGCGAATTTGTAACATTATGAAGAAGCTTGGTTGGGATTTAACATTACATTACAGATACTTCTTTCTTTTACTTTAGCCGAGTTGTTTTCTTGTGAAACCTGACAGTCTCACACATACGAGTGCGAGACTTCTTCTGAAAGCTGTTTTGTGGTAAAACATTTATCTCAATTACTTCTGAAGTCAAAGGTGTGGAAAAAATCAAATTATTTTTTAACTTTGTAGTAAAAAGTGAAATGATGTAACCTATGAATAACATGAGATTTTTGTTATTAGAGATGGAGGTGGAAAGATGTCCTTATAAGTCTTGCATAGGAAAACCCCTTTAGTTTAAGGAAAACAGTTTGTTTAGTCAGATGTTTGCTGCTGAGCTGCACACTTTGGTCAACAAAAATCTGTAGTGACGGTGGGTTTTGTTTTTTCTTTTCTTTCAGTAATTGTGTGCATTCAAACATACAACACAGTCGCACTAGAACAGGGGTGTCAAGCTCATTTTTGTTTTGGGTCAATTCCACATCATAAATGCTCTTACAGGGCCTGTTGTGCCAGAATATATTGATAAAACCTGTTCCCGAACTCTTAAAATATTAGTGAATTCTTAAAATTACAGATTATTGAACATCTTTTTAGTCCCTCCACGATTCTTTTTATAATTTCTTGTGTTTGTGGTAATAATTTGGAATTGTTTATGCTTATTTATGATGGTAAATGCAACTTTCTATTATTTGGTATTTATACCATACACTATAATCTGACATCAATTAAGGCTGATGCAGGTGTTTAGTACAAGTAAGAAAGTTTTTGACAATCTCTTGAGAAAAACTCAATTGCGAGTGTAATTTGTTGATTTTGTGTGAATAACCACAACAATTGATCTAGTAATGAGCTTCTGGGGTTGAAATCCTTGTCTTCACTCTACTGCAAAGCTTGACTCAAGTAACTACAGATTCTGCTGAGAAATATTTTGAAGGTGTTTCTATTTGAACAAATCTAAAATTAAAAATCAACCGTTTAAATACATCTTAATGCCCAGTGTGTACAAATCTTATATAAGTATCCATTTTTATTTTTTATTTTTTGCTAAATACTGCCAATTACTGCATGCATGCTGTGTAGAACCCTCTGTGTTGTTTTTAGCTTATCTCCATAGGGTTCATTGCAGACTCCCACAGTAAACACCGGGAGTGCTGCTTTCAGAGTGCAAGCTCTCTTCATTTGAAAACATTAATCTTTAATAGATTTTTACATAATGAATCATTCCTGGAACTAGGAATCCGCATCATTCTTCCGTCACTATTTTCACCTTTCGGTTCAACTCTAATTGAACTAAAACCTTGTTTAACGTGAAAAACCTATAGAAAATAGCAGTATCTTTGAGAATATTTAAAGACTTTATTGACATCGTCTAAATTTTCTCTATACAATCTGCTTGAAGGTTAAATCTCTCCTGATTCAGTTTTGATTGAGCACAAAGCAAGTTTTGTCTTGTATCTGTTTAGACACATTCAGTTTTTATTCTGTGCCATATTTCTGATTTATTTAATACTTCTGCTTGACGTTATTCGCAAAGTAGGGTGTCGATTTTTGCATCTGAAATATCAACAAAAGAGCGGAGAACGCTTCTTCGAGCTGTTTGAAATCTCTCACTCTAAGCTGTCCTTGGGGCAGGTTTCACATTCGGTACTGGTAAGAACACTGAACTCCAAAGTTAAAAAGAGCTCATCTTTTTGAAATCCTCCTACAGACAACTTCTGTTTAAATGATCTCTTGGTGAAATATGAAATGAGCAGCGATGTTGAGACGCTCCATCAGTTTTGAACTTAACTTAAATGACACAAATGCCAATTTAATCTCGCCCAGTCTTCCAGGTATTCAGGAAGGATTAATCGTTTTTAATTTAGCTAAATTTGTATCTAGAATCTAATCTCATCCTGAAAATGTAGATGCCTTTTTGAACAACCTTTTATCTGAGTACGTTTGTTCAGCAGGAGGGAAAAACAATGATGTTAGAATATAATTATCTTTAATAAAAATGACTGTTGGTATAATACTTTGTCTTCTCTTGTAATGCTTTACAAACTAGGAGCAGATAGAGAGACAGATCTTTGATCATTTCTCTTTTATGTATTTATTTATTTTTATCTTCCTTACCGACGTTCTCACTTTTGCATTGCGGTAAAATAAAATGGGGGTCCTTGTCGAGCCGGTAACTAAAAGAATTAGACTTTTTAAAATATTTTAGTTATATTCCAGGAAAACAGAAACTAATAAGAAGTTCTTAGTAACTATGATAAACAAAAATAACAAGGTGCAAACAAACAATGACTTACATTTTTAGTGTTAGTTAATAGTCATAGCATATTCAATCATTTTATTTCATAGTTTTTTACACATCTTTTCTCTGACAGAAAATGTTGCCTGCACTTGGAGTATTTGAACTTGGAGAGCAGCATCTGATTCTTGTTACATGATCTGAACTGTTTAGCGAAACAAAAGGATGTAGGGAAATAAAACAATATTTCATATGACACAACCAATTACTGTTTTTATTTGCACATTTTCTGCTCAAGACTTTTTCCAATTGAAACCAGATCTTTCCTTTTAAGAGGAACTACTGATTCCTCGCTTTTTTATTTTAGGTTAGTTTAGGAAAGTATGATTCATCAGAATCATACTTGCTAAATGAGAAAGTTTTAAGAGATTTAGTTGAACTTCAAAATGTTTATATAGAGCTTTTATCGTTATATCCCTTATTTTGTAAAGTCCACCAGTAACCAGAAACAAAATAGCCACACATCATGATTTATTGTACTTCACTGTTGGATTGGTGGTCTTAGGCTTGGAGGCTTCTTTCTTCTTCCTCTAAAATGAAGAACACACTGGCCGTTATGGCCAAGCACTTAAATTTTAATGTTATCACACCACAGGAAATGCATTTGTTTTCCACTATATTTCAAATGTTTTATGGCTTTATGTTGTTGTGGAGCAATGACCTTGTCATTACTCCAAAATAAGTAACGAGGAGCCTTTCAGACCATGTTCAGACAGAAGTAATTTAAACAGTTTTTGCATTTTGATAAGGGGAAGGAGATGGTTGAGGTTGATAATTGTCTTCCTGTTATTATGGATGATTTCTTTTGTTTTTTCCATGATGGTTATCCGTAGGTGAGACTATCTAACTCAAACCCCTTTCCTGCATTCATAAAATATAAATCATTTTGACCTAAAACAGGTTTTGTCTGATTTAAATGTCAGATGCTGAGGGGGAAAAAAGGTCATGTGTGTTTTTAATTCAGCCTAAGTAAACATCTGGGTTTTACACTGTAATGCTATTTTTAATAAATGATTCAGTTTAATAATTGCATCCTTGTCCTCCTCCCTGCAGTGATTCTGTTCTGCATGGCAGCGCTCATCTTCCCAATAGGCTTCTACATCAACGAGGTGGGAGGTCAGCCATACAAGCTGCCCAACAACACGGTGGTGGGCTCCTCGTACGTTCTGTTTGTCCTCTCCATCTTCTTCACCATAGTGGGACTGCTGTTTGCAGGAAAAGTTTGCCTCCCAGGCTGAGAACTCCTCCACCCTGGCCTCGGGTCTGACTCTGGAGGCTCTGAAAGTATTATGGGATTTCCAAAACTTCAGACTGAAAATCAAAAAACGACAAACTTTTGCCCTCAAAACCCGAGACGGGGAAGGCGACGCTTACGTTTCAAGGGACCGCAGCTCTACGGAGAACTACTTAGAGATGAATAAATGAACAAAACACTAAAAGGGGACATGAGCACAACAGGATGGAGGCTGTCGCAGTTCCCTACAGTTCGCTGCTGATTTTAGATACAGCCGATTCTCTTTCTCCCTCTGTGTTGTCGCTCTGATAGAACGGGCGCTTAATGTGCCGCTGTCATGGCAGCCGCAGTAACAACAATGGCACACATCTCCGAAGGACCACTACAACCACTCCTCGACTTGATTTCCAACCGCCCCTCAGCACACATTTGCTTCGTCATGGCCGCTTCTGTTGCTATTTATAGCTTCTCTGTGCTATTTTCAGTTTTCTGCTTTTTTTTTTTTCTCTCTGTACAATTTCTTCTTTCCTTCTTCCAGCTCCCACCACCTCTCCGCTGAGGTAGTGTTAGTGTTGTTGAGGTTCTCTGAACTCAATCCTTTAAACAGAATCGGTTGAGGGGGGTGTGAAGTGTCTTTGTCTGCCATATTGCACGGCCCCAGGCGTGTAGCCGAGGAGAGCTGCTGTTACGGCTCACACTTTCAGCCTGCTGTGGAGGAGACATAGATGCAGGTGTGCTTCCTCTTCATCTTATCCAGTCTGGTAGGTTACCTGAACAGGAGGTCAAGCATCATAAAGGAGAATGCCACTCAATCCAAGACCATGCATAATGTCATTTCTGCAGGCAGCAAAGTAATAGTTAGACATCTCAGTTAAGCCGGTCATTCTCTTTCACATCTTCAACATGAACACACCTCTTATATTTATGACATTTACAGCAAACAGAATCTTCTCTAAGGTTGTAAATCTCTGCACATTGAGATGGACCCCTATAATTTTGACAGTACAGATTTTTTTTCCAATAAAAGATTAAGGAAACATGTAAAAACTGATATTAAGTGGTATTCTCCTTTTAAGTTTTGACGATTGATAAAACGTGAGCCGGGGAAGGTTTTTCTGATCTTGTTTTGTATGACAGTGAAGGCACTGGGACTGCAGGTCAGGTCCATGCATGGCGCTGTGCCTCGTAGTGCTGCTCGGCAGGTCTGTGAACGCAACACACACAAACACACCTTCACGCTGTGCACGGAAGCTGCAACAGTGGGTTTGCTTTCATTACAAAAATACTTAAGATTCTTCTTCCTGGTTTTCACAAAAGAATTCACGCCTCTAGAAACTTCAGTGTTGTGTTAGGGAGATTTTATGTGAAAGACGAACACACACAGGCATAGTGATGAAGTAGAAGGTTCAGCTTTATTGTCCCTGCTGATTAAAAGCTTCTCACCATAACAATACTGCCACTGCCATGTCTTAGGCTTGATGTCATGCTGTCCTGTGAACATTTACTCAGGTCACTTGTCTTTTGCACTGTCTAAGTGACTTCCCTCTTGATTTTTCTTTATTCAGTCTGTCTTCCCATCATCTATCACCTTCTTCCATGTCCCAGCTGAAGAAAAACTTGCCCCTTGTTATCTTTGGGGTCATGTGTTCAGGGCGTTGGTTTCCCACAATGACCAATATTTCCATGTAGCCTAAAAAAAAAAGTATCTCATTCAACCAGAATTCCTCGTAGATTTTAAATAATTAAGTCCAACTTTATCCTTTTGATACATTTTATGTGTCTTTAGTTATTAAATTGAAAACAGAACATTTCTCAACTTGGTTTCATATAAAATACTTTCACTCTGCAGCTGAAACTTTCTAGACATCTGTCAAGAACTGCATGCAATATAACACTTCTGCGTTTGCCGCAACAGCTTTCTTTGTCAGCAGTGTTCAAACGTGTTAATATAACAAGCTATTACTGAGAGAAAAAAGCGGCGCAAGCGTGGATGTTAATGAGTATTAATATTTGATTCTAATGCAAAAATCGGAAATATTTTAAGCTCTTTTTTTGAAACATCACATTCAGTTTTATTGTTGGACTTTCTGCTTTCACTGCCTTTCCTCAGCTTAAGTTAATTCTGGGCTTCCATTTGAATATTTTACTAAACTTGGACTTTCTGTCAGGAAGAGCCATTGCTTATCTGTTGATCTCAAGTCGTACTCCATCCTTCGACTAATGCAAACACAGAATTTCTCACTTCCTCTGGCTTTTATTTATGGATCTGTGTTGCATTAAAATCAATGTTCTTTACAATAAAGTTCACAGTGAAATAAGACAAGGAGGAACATATTTATTGGTTCAGCTTTATGCCTGTGTGATGCAACACTTTTTAGGCTGTTTTCCTTCTAATCTAGCAATTTTTTCCTGTTGGACATCTGATGAGCTCCACGTTTTTGACATTAGAAGGCCTCATTGTCATCACACATTTTTGTTAGTGTCCTCCATAGATTTTCTATTGGAGAGAAACATGTTTATATTTCTTGCAATCAGAATAAACATTAGTCAAATAAAAAAATACAAAATTAAAGCCTAAATCTGCCATTTACTTAAGAGGAAAATTAACTTCATTTTAGAGTTGCACTGTATATTAAACAGTAGTCACCAATGCAATAGAAATGTGTGCATTGTTGTCGTTACAAAGGACAACCTGCTTGCAGAATTTGGTAGGAAAAGCTATTTGTTTACCAAAAAATAAAAAAATTGGTTGGGCTGCTGGGAATACTTTTACAATACAAAGAAAGACTGAAAATGTTTGGCTAGTCATGATTTATATTGTCAACACAATATTTAGCACTAATTTCTCAGACGTATTTAAATGTAAAAAGAAATATTTTTAGGGTTTAAAAAAACCCCAAAATGCTCTTTTCAGTGCAAAAAAGCTCTTTCTGTTTCTAAACTTCAGGATAAATCAAGATGGATCGTTATAATTTCAGCTGTAAGCAAAACAGACTAGACTATGAGTTATTTTCTGTAATCAACAACCCAATAACAAGACGTAGAAATATGCACATGCATATTTCTACATTCGCCGCCTTTTCAAGTGATTAATAACAGAAGACATTAATTTAATCCTGTTAATGTTTTGCTCATTAATCATTGCCTTTACAAACACTTTGCTCTGTCTTGCCTAAACATGCTTTCTATCTCAGGCATGGAGTGATTTCTATAAGTTTCAAACTGAAGCTTCTTCCTCATCTGATCATCTACCATCGAATCACTTTGGATAGTAGATGGCCTCCCTGAAGTTGTTTATGTTTAAGCACTCTGAATCGGGCATCATATAAGCTACTGAGACGCAGATCTTTCATTCACCGTGTGTGTTTGTGTGTGTTGAAGCGGTCACAGCCGCTCTGTTTGCTAAGTCTTAGGTATTTGTTTTCTATTTCTGTTTCCTGCTCGGCTTCTCTGCCTCTCGGTCTGATGATGTGTACTGCTAAACTATACACTCTGCCTCTGGTTGGTCTAGTATTGTGCCATGACCTGTTTCTGTTTAATAATGTACAGACACAAAAAAGGCAAGATTTCTGTATTAGGAAGCACTGTGCGTTCAACAGTATAGGTAACAGACATAGAAGCACCACAAATGTATAAAAAAAAGAGAACTTCTTACCTCATTGTTTTTTTGTTTCTGCTATTATTTTCTAATGGTGGCAACGTGTGTGCCCTCTAATTTGTCTCTTGCCTTGATCGGATGTCTACACATAAAGCCTATGTTGATAGGAAATTATTTATCACTGAATAAAAAGAGAAAAATGGGTGTGTGTGACTGACACAGTCTGTTTTGTGCTCCTTTAAACTGTTAATCTGAATGTCTTTTTTTTTTAGCCCATTTAAATAGAATCCCATCAAGAAGTTGTACATTATTGTGAAGCTAAAGGAAAGCTATACATGGGCAGTTATATTCTTCACAAATTAAAATTTGAAAACAGATTTTTATTCAGATACTAGACCTTATTCTTTCATAAAAACAAATTAAAATTTATATTTGGAAGACATTGTAAATGTGCAACATCCCCTCAGACACTGAATCTTCACTGCAGTTAAAACATAAATACTGTCTAAATCCAGAGACCTATATTAATATCTGAGCACTAATTAAATCAGGCATCTTAAATCAATCGTATCTGGATGGATTTATTCATTCCTATGAATCGAGCTCCACCATTCTGGACACAGCAGCTGGATAACAGTTTTTTTCTCTTTTTTTTTTGGCAGATTTTTTTTTTTCTTTTCAGGAAAAAACATCTCATTTTTTTGGCTGCCTTATTACTGAAAAACTGGCCGTTATGTTATTGCTTCTGGCAGCGGTCACTGTTTCAGCACCATAAGCATTTCTACTGCTGTACAGCAACTGAAAGAAAACATCTAAATTATAGCATTTTCTGAAAATGCTGAAAACTCAGATATTTATTCTACCGCATTATTCATCAGCCATAATTGCAAACTTATTCATTCTTAAGAAGCTTTAGAAATATGCCTATTAGGAAAATGTAAACTGTTTCAGTTCATTTCTTTGCAAAGACATTTTCCTCTTTTTTTATTTGTTTAGTTTAATAGATCAGACTTGGTAGTAAGTCAGCAGGAAATGGTCGTACCTGCTTGTTTTCTACCTGTGTGTGATGCTCAGTGCACCTCCATTAGCCTCATGAGTCACCTGAACCTCCAGCTCAGGCTTTCGTGGGATGTGCATTAAGTTGTTTTTTTTGTTTTTTTTTGTTTTGTTTTTTAACGCAGTAATCGGCTCCATTCACGGCAAACCACTGCAAGCGGTTACCGGTGACATCTCTCCCAGCTGCGTTTCAATCCAGGGATTTAGATGTTTTCCTGGTTGATGGAGCCAACTGCTGATGGTGTTTCTAAAAACAGTAAACACATCAGGAGCCAAACTCAGAAATCTATAGTAATTACTGATGCCATCTGCTGCTGCTGCAGTTAAAACCTGAGGCTGGATCTCCTCAACTTTTGTATAATCCTGAGCACCAATTATTTCTCAACACATGATGCCCCCTTCACTGAAAAAAATCAGATTAAAGAGAGTTTTTCACAAAAATTGTTGTGGTGAGTTTATTTACTTTATATAAGATTTATTACACACATCTTATCGGACTCAGCTGTAAACTGAATCAACGACTGGCATCGACTGACATTTTAAAATTACCCCAGGTAAGTTCATCTGCAGACCATCATTCATGCACAGGGTAATTTAAAATATTTTAGATTAAAAAAAAAGGTATTAAAAAAAATCATGTGAAGAATTCTCTAAAAATTTTAAATGTAGGCATCACAAAAACAGTAAAATGTTATACAAATAAATACAGCTTTATTATCTGTTGTGTTATCTGTCTGAGTAGATAACACAAAATGCTCAGACATATGTCTGAGTATATATATATATGTGTGTATATATACTCAGACAATAATACAGAGACCAGGTTTGATTCAGGTTGTTAACAGTTTTCGAAGATTGTTTAATAGTCTGAAGTAGCCATTGGCTTTGCAGTGCGTCATGATGGATCACTGCAATATGACTGATCCAATTATAATCCAAAAACAGTAAACCTTCTGCTGAGAGCTTCAGGTTTATAACGAGACATAAATCTTTTACTGCTGTTTTTGCTCAGTCATCTGCAGAGCTAAAGCCTCATTTCTGCCCTGTTTTGACCACTACTAACATCCTTTCAGCTCCATAAAGCAGATGAAATATTGCTTTCTCTTCAGTCTGCTGAAGACCTTCCTATCAGGTGCCTCAACATGATGTAGGAATGCAAGATATGTGGGTGGAGGCAGAGGGAAGAAATTTCTCAGTGTGCATTGGATGCGTGCATTACATAACATCTCTGAATACGTATACATACCATGTTGTTTTCATGAGTTAGAATTTGTTGTAGCTTTTGTCAGTTTGATAAATGACGGTGTCAGTTCTCTGCCAGGTGCAGTTCGATGGAGATATGGCTGCCATCTGATAGTGAGAGGCAGCACAAAGCAGGCTTGAATTGAAGGTCAACTCTTGTGACGATGGCATAATCTCTCAGTCTGAATAGGTCCAGTTTTCATTGAAATGCAAGTGCAGATACAGAAAAACCGGAATATATCTTCAAGGCTCTTTTTGCAATTTAATTCTTTATCTAATGTTTTAATGTCAGTGGCTTAAAGAGGCTTTTGACAAAATTATAAACAAAGTTTTAAGTTTGCTGGTTGGGTTTTTAAATTCATACCCAGCTCTATTCTCCAGGCCTATTTTTTGGCATTGGTCTCCATTTATCTCCATCTATCTTCCCGTCACCTCTGAACCGTGTCTTAATTTTGTCAGAAAGTTTCAACATGGTTTTTGTCAAATACATTTTTTCTGATAAACATTAGATTAAAAACAGGACAAGATAAAATAATTAGCCAATGATACCTAACATTTTTGAGCTGAAAGTGAATGATGTGATAACAACAAAGTTCTTAATAAAAGGAATATTTCAGGTGGACACTTATTGTCAGGTTCTGCCAGCATCAATCTGCAGATGCAAATTTTTTGCACTATCTACATGTTTTATAAGTCAATAAAAAAATATTTTTTCCAGTTTGAATATTTTTAGGAATATTTTCTTCTTGAGCATTTTTCTAGTAAAAATCGGTAAAAATAAACTGATATCTCTGTGAAATTCCTTTCCATCCAAAGATAAAGGAATCGGTGTAAAGAAATCATTTTTCTGAAGGATGCGTTAAAAATGCATTCCTCAGACATTTTGGTCTGATCTGAATACAGTGTAGTTTTCCCATGTTATGTTTCCTACAAGCCTTTGGACAAACTTTAAACTTGCTTTCAACAATGGCTTTCTTCTTGTCGTTCTTCCATTCGTAAATAATTGATAGTCATCCTCAGAAAAGGATTCGCTCTCTTGATCTTTTGATCTGCGACTGTTTGCACTGGATTTTATGTAGGTGTGGAAGAGTAAATGGGGCGGACTCACTTTTCAACTTTTTATTTGTAAAAGATTTTCCCACTTCATGAACATGCAGCACTTGATATCTTTTTTTTTTTTTTTTTTTTTTTACAGTCTATCAAGTAAAAATGTGAAAACGTTTAAGTGTCACTGTGTAGTGAAGTCTCATGGACAGGCAAAAATTATATAAATAACCTTTTTCATGTTTTGGTTCAAGCATGTTTTTTGAAACTCAAACGTGGTGTTTGTAGACCTGGATCATTATTGTCAGTACTCTGCATATAGTCTTTCACTAAAAAGAAAAGATCTTGCTGAATTGAAAAACCCATTAAATAGATAAGTTGAAATCTTCCTCAAAATCAGCTGAGCCAGAAAAATGTTCTACAATTTTCTCTCTTTCAAGCAAACTCTGAATTTCAAAAATCACTTAGATATAAAGGTGTGCAAGAAAAACTATGAATGTTTATCATTTGAAGAAGCATCACGTTGCTGTGCTTATTTACACAATATACCAAAGGGCCTGAATCCCATCGGTTTCATTGCTCCATTAATCTTAATACCATTAAAAAGCCTCAGTAAGTAGTTTAAGTGCAGTTTACACTCAAATTCAGAGCAAAGCACATTATTTGAAGCCTTGGGGAGGCTTTGATGTTGCTAACTTTAGCTGCCCTCAGAACTGATTGATCTTAAAGTGGGCGATAGATGCAGTGACGTTCCCTCCCTGCCGGATGTCTGTCTGCTATGTACGTCAGCATGGACCTTAAAGCAAATCTGCTGCTGAGGCAAGAAAAACAGAAAGCTGGGAGGAAAGGGCTTTTAGTGGAATGACCACAATGTTTGCAGAGATTTATCATTTCACCTTTGTTAAAAGATTTTGTTTTTGAAAACCCGCTCCTACATAATTTCATGTTAAATTAGAAGAATGAGAATAATTGCAATACTCTTTTAGATTTGCATAATGCCATTCTGCCACAAGAATATACTCTGATTTAACCTGTTACATTGTAGGTCTTTAGTACCTTTTTGATTTTTTTCCAGGTTCTCCCTGTAGTTGGCTCCTTCCTTCTTCTCTTTATCTATCAGCTTCCTTGGCGAGAAAAGCTTCTCCGCAGCTCAATGCTGAAACATTTTAGCATAAGAATAATGCATTTATTTGTGAAACCGTTTACTTTTTCCTTCCACTTTGCTATTATAGGTTATCTTGCGTTGGTCTTTCACATAAAACTCCAATAAATACCGCAATGTTTGTGATTGAAGCGTGACATGCTTATTAAAGACACTGCTTATCTTCAATCGTTTCCTTGACCAAATTGCACTAAGTGTTTGGTCAATGTGCAGAGCCCAGTTGTATGGGATGACAAGCTGCAGCACTAATTTATAATGTCTGATCCACGTCTGCAGCTTTGACAGATGCAACATTCTCATGTGGCTAATTTGTCTATGACTGACTCCTGCTGAGAGCATCAGAAGGACACAATCTGTTGTTGTATGGAGTCATCACTGCTGCAAGTGCATCTAATAGGAAGAACCGTTAGACTGGGACTTTAGGTTTCTTCAACCAAACCTCACACTTATGTGAATTTATATGTTGGAAATGTTGCAGTTTATGCTTAAGAAAGGGTGAAAATTTGATTTTAAAAAGCACAATTCTTGAATTATAAGTTACTTGTATTTCTCAGCAAAAAGACAACTTCTCTATGTTGAAGTTTCATCTGAGACTGACAAAGTTCACTGCAGAGAAAGTTGCAGAGGTCATGATGGATCGTTCTTTCAGACTTTAAAATAATCCGTCCGTCCATCACTTCCATGCCAGCAGCGTTTTTTA